ATTGGATTAAAAGAGAAGAATTTTCTTCCTGTTAAGGAGATTCTGAATTTCTAATTGATTACATCATATTTGAACGTGCATGCATGCCTTAGTTTCCATGAGAAGAACTCAGAAGCAAGTAATATATCATATCAAATGCATGCCATTACGCAAAAACATATGTTTTACAAGTTTAATACGAAACAATAAGGCGAAGTAAGATTTATGTACTTTCACATGCAGGTAGACATAAAACTCACGTAAGTTGGACACTGTATAGATAATATTAAGAAAGTGTTATTCACACACTCATTTTTATTTCTCATTCTTGTTATTTTTTACCATTGTTTTTCATCATTTTATTCAATCAAGAAACTTTTACCTCAAAAACTTGTAAAGTTCATCTTCATGAAGGGGATTATTGTGGTCCGCAAGCACAGCTGGCTACGAGTAGCCCTCAAGCGAGCTACATTAAGTCCGAAAAGTTTTTCGTGAAGCACAATGGGTTTTCTATCTCTTTATATTTTTCTCTAAATTCAATAATTATTAGTGTATAGCCTTACACGAGTGGTGGCTTAGGGCATGTGCAATAGGTGTATATACCAATTTGGTTTGTAGCAAAAAAATTCCGTCTTTGAGAAAATTTATAGGTTTTGCATATGAATAAGAGAAATATGGCCTTCATATGCAAAAGAAGAATCACTAGTTTACTCTGTCGGCTTTGCTCTAAATTGTGTGTTTATTTATTTATTTTATATTTTTTGTTAATCTGAACTACAACTCACAACAAATAATACTCGACTTAGATCCATTATTAATACAACTATAGACATATAAATTAGCTTTGTAGCATGAAGTTTTATACAAGGACTCATTTATTATCTTCCCAACAAATCTCTAAAATCTCAAAGTCAGTCCTTTCTTACACTGTTGAAGTTGAAAATAATACAGCGAGACTACACATTAAATATACAGTAAGATACAATCGTACAAATTGAGAAAATCGAAACATAGGGTACAATGTAACACGGCTCATAAGAAACAAATTTTATTGTGGAAAGAGAAAAAAAATCAGAAACAACAAACTAGAGAAAAAGAAAACATAAGACTTTAAGCTCGGCTAATTAATACAAAACTTAAAAACATAAAATCATGATTTGACAAGACAACTGACGGACATTTTCGCGGTGATGTTAATGAAGAATGGGATGGCATACCTAAAGTGATAAAATTGTTCTTGATGTAGAGTTGGCTAACGCGTGAAATTAATAAAATTGATAACTTGAAAATGATTATTTTAGCGTGATATCTTGTTTGGATTTTTTGTTATTTTTCTTCTTTTTGGTTGCTCCAAACACGTTGAAAAATTGTATTTTCCGTTTGCAGAATATGGTTTCTAGTGCTCTCATACATTTCGTGAATGAATGCAATTAGCTGACAAATTAGCCAATGGGCTTCTCTCATCTTCACTTGTTGGTATGCCACTCCTCCTATAGAGATTCTTCATTTTTTGCATTCAAATTTCTTAAGCATGTCAACCTACATATTTGTCTCTTCTTCTTGATGTGTGATTTTCTTTTTTACCTAATCTTTTTTAACTTTTAGGTTTTTTAGAGGGGTTTAGACTTATGTCGACCCTTTTTTTTTTTTTTTTTTTTTCGTATTTTCTTTTCGGAGAGAAGTAAAGTCTATGTCTCATCTTCCCTTTTGTTTCAAGAGAGGTAAGGTGTATGTCCCTCCCACCCTTTTTTTCCTTGTATTTTGTTTTTCTTGCTCTATTGAGGGTAATGTTTATATCCTCTTGACTAGGTGTAATTTTTTTTTTAATATCAATAAATTTCTCTCGTACCATTGAAGTGTCCAAAAAATAAAAATTAGGTGTATAAAGAATCATTTTTTAAGTCACTTAGTACTACGATATAATGATATTTCTCTTCACTGGTAAGTAAGAGCTATTAGTTTGATTTTTTCCAAAAACGAATTTGAACCATATTATTGCTAATCTATTGTGAGACTTAACTCACTTTCTCACTCTCTCACTCTCTCGCCCCCAACCACTTTTTAATAAATACCCAACATATACACGTGTATAATTGTTAATGGATATGGGTTACCTACCTGCCATACGGCCCATACCGGTTGCCCATATCTTCACATAGTCCATCTTTACAGAAAATATGAATTAGAGTAAAACAGCTTACCTTAACCTGTTATAAATATCATCTAATTGTGATTGTATAAATCTTATATATATTAAGTATCTAAATTCTTCATTATTCTAGTAATTCTTTCTCTATAAGATTGTACTCACGTAGAGGATAAATTTATCTTTCCTCTTGAATTACTATAAACAAAGGCACCGACATAAGTAGAATCACAACAATTCAAAAACATCCTACAACTTCTACATTCCTCCCGCACTCTCTTTTTACCCTCAGATAAAATAGGCCACAACATAAACAGAGTTTACCCGAGACAATGCGGTTATTGAATTCTTCTTTTCAAATGTAGGTTTTAAATGCTGGTAAATGGTACGCGACCGCGTTTTTATTTTCTAAATTATGATCTCGGTCCAAAACGACGTTCAAATCTTCCGCTTTGCTTTCAGGAACTTCAAAGGGGGGTATTATCGTGATTACAAAAGTTCACCATCCCCACAATGATCCCGCCCACACGTGATTCGTCAGAAATTTTATTTTATTTTATTTCTCGATGAACATATTCCCTAGATATTTCTCACCTTGCATAGGTAGGTACGTCCCATCATCACAACCGTTCACAGTGTTTTGGACAACTCGCTTCCTCATCACAATCAACGGCCAAGATTACATTCGCGAAATCAGTTAATTTAACAAGAAAGGATCCAATCATAAGGGCGCACGTAGGAAAGTCGAACTCGAAACCAGTGGTTCCGATTCCGAGATTGGCGGGGCCCACGGATTCAGGGAAGGAGGGAAGCCTTTGAGCTTTAAATGGTGGTGTCCTCAGGGCTCGTGCGCACTTCAAAAGGGCTGGAGATTTCTGATCCTACACAGGCCGTTGAGCCCAGTAGAGAGAGAAAGTTAGAGAGAGAGAGAGAGAGAGAGAGGGAGGTGAAAGAAGGAGGAGCTTCTCGTTTCAGGTACTTTCTCTTTTTATTTTTTTTCCGATACATTTTGCTTCCGGTTTAAATTTCTCAGATTTTTTTTTTACATGCATTTCGCGTTTTGTGATCGAATGTGATTGGAAATCTGCATGTTTGAGCTTCCTTTTCTGCTCCAATGGCGTAATCTGCGTTAGATCTAGCCGTTAATGGGGGAAATTTTTTTACTGTTTTTTTCTCTCGCGATTCTGGTATCGACGGCTTGGATTTTGAGCTTGAATATAATGCAACTAATACTTTTGTTTAAAGAATATTAATTTTCATTGATTTTTTTTTATTTTCTCTAATTTTGAAGTCCAATCTGAGCAGCCGTGCCAAATAGACTGGCTCTTTGTCGTGTTGTTTGGCGGCCACATGATCCTCGCTTTTGTCGTTATCTCAATTTTTTTAATTTTCAATGCATAAATATAAAATATCTGAATTTTTAATTGTTAATTAATTTTCTGATAAAAAAATAATTATTTGTTCCTCCGGATTCGGTTTTTGGTGCTCTGTGGTCGGTGTCTTTCATTCTCTCTTCGATACCGCGCGTTCCACAGCCGATTTCTAAACCCTTCCGTCTTCGTTTCGTCTTGAAACGCGGCGTTTGACATGGTTTGTTGCAACTGAGTGCCGGCATGTATGCCCATTTTCTGATAAGATTTTTTTTGTATTTTTTGGCTTTTGCTTTTGGGTAGTTTTCCATTCGGAAGAAAAGAAAAACCCAACGAGAAATTCGATTTAATGTAACAGTTTTTGAACAAAATTCGGAAAACGATATTATTTTAGCAATTAAAATTGGTTGGCAACAAAAAATATCTGTGCACTTTTGGCAATTGACAAGTTGGTATTGTTCGGCAGAATGGTGAATAATTTGTCAAAATCAAAGCCTATTCGTAAGGCGAAACATGCTTAGAAAGTGGATTTTGTGGTTAATTATTGTTTAATCAACCGTGTCTAAAGGTCGGCCACGACTTTGGGGACCTAAACCATACTTTTGCCGCATTTTTCATGTACTTAATTTTGTACAGATGCAAGTGACCATTTACTACAGTGCCAGAAAAGTTTTAAGTTCTTGTATGATGACATGAGTTCAAACTTGATGCGTGATTAATCTAACAAAATTTATCGTTTGACCAAAAAAAACTTTGTACACAGATTTTTACCTTGAAATTGATTTTTACACTCCCCTTTCTGTTTATTAATTTCTTTTGATTTGTTTAATTTATTTATATGTTTATTAATTTCTTTTGATCTGTTTAATTTAACCGTTAAATATGCACAAGAATGTGTGGAGGGAATAGATGGGTTTATGAATTTTTTTTTTTAAATTTAAAGTAATATTAATTTATATATGTGTGTGTGCATTTCACGTGATGGGCCACTCTGAATTCCTTGTCTACTGTAAAATTGAGTGGGTCTGAGAAGTCTGCCGAGTGTTTTGTGCGTTGCAACTTGCTCGCGGGTTGTGTTTGTTTATGCGCATGTAGGGTCGCTTTCAGCCGCACCACCAGCTTTCGTGCTTATGATTTTGATTAATTAAAAATGTGGGTCCTAATCACCTTCAAACTGATAAAACAATGTAACAATGTAGTCAAATTTTCCCTTTTATTAACAGTGTAGTCAAATTTTCCCTTTTATTAACAGTGCTTTGTAGGGCATCTTTTCGAAATTGATTCCTTGTTGCGATGGTGTTTAAGGAGGAAGAAATATGCGTTTTCGTGTGGTATATACCTGAAAAGGGATGAAGATGTCGTTTTGGTTTATTTTTATGCTCCTCTTAATTTGCTAGTCAAATTGCTAATTACGACTTAATCAAGTAGTTTATGCCCACTTAAACAAGGGATCATTGTATCAACTTGTTGGTATTTCCGTCTCCGTCTTTGCTAATAATGGACAATGTATTTACTAAATTATGGATGGAAAACCCTTTGTCCGTAGGTTTCCACTGGTTAATGGAAGCGGCACTAACTTATGTCAAATTTTGTTTGGGGTTGTAATTGCTCCCATAGCTGTATATGTTGGATTTTTTTGGATGTCCCTCTGGCCTGTCAACGTTTGTTTTGGTCCGTTTACTTTTGCGCTCTAAATTTGAGTGGTTGTCGTGTTGGGCTTCAAATATCTTGATTTGTTGGTCTTATTTTTTCATGTAACTTTTGTGGTGTCATGGTTTTATAAGGAGGAATATGTGAAATTACATTATCCTCAACTGTTTCCCTCTTTGATCTTTGCAGATTTCAGAATAATGGGGGCCGGTGGAAATATGACTGCACCCCGTGCGCGTAAAATTGCTGAAGCTGACACCGTCAAGCGAGTTCCGTACGCTAAGCCTCCGTTCAGCCTCGGCGAGGTCAAGAAAGCCATCCCACCTCATTGTTTTCAGCGCTCTGTCATCCGCTCCTTCTCCTATGTCTTTTACGACCTCGCCATTGTTTCTATCCTTTACTACATTGCTTCCACCTACATCCAGAACCTCTCTCAACCTCTCTCCTTCTTGGCGTGGCCTATTTATTTTTATGTTCAGGGCTGTGTTTGCACCGGTGTTTGGGTCATAGCACACGAGTGCGGTCACCATGCTTTCAGTGATTACCAGTGGCTGGATGACACTGTTGGTCTGATCCTCCACTCTTGCCTTCTTGTCCCATACTTCTCATGGAAGTATAGCCATCGCCGCCACCATTCCAACACAGGTTCCCTTGAGCGGGATGAAGTCTTTGTCCCCAAGCAAAAGTCTGCAATAGGGTGGTGGGCAAAATATCTCAACAACCCACCAGGCAGATTCCTCACTCTCGCCGTCCAACTCACTCTAGGCTGGCCTCTGTATCTGGCATTCAATGTTTCCGGAAGGCCCTACAAGGGATTTGCTTGCCACTATCATCCATATGGCCCGATCTTCTCTGATCGCGAACGATTGCAGATATTTGTGTCTGATATTGGTGTCCTTGCTGTCTTCTATGGGCTTTACCGTCTTGCTGTTGCAAAGGGACTTGCTTGGGTTATATGCTTCTACGGAGGTCCTCTAATGGTAGTGAACGGATATTTGGTGTTGATCACATACTTGCAGCACACTCACCCCGCACTGCCACACTATGATTCCTCCGAATGGGACTGGTTCAGGGGAGCTTTGGCCACCGTTGACAGAGACTACGGAATCCTGAACAAGGTTTTCCACAACATCACGGACACTCACGTTGCTCACCATTTATTCTCAACCATGCCGCACTATCACGCAATGGAGGCGACCAAGGCGATCAAGCCGATCTTGGGCGAGTACTATCAGTTCGACGGGACTCCGGTTCACAAGGCAATGTTTAGGGAGGTGAAGGAGTGTATCTACGTTGAGCCCGACGAGGGTGACGAGAAAGGCGTCTTCTGGTACAATAATAAGCTGTGAAGTGCTGGCGAGTACTATCAGTTCGACGGGACTCCGGTTCACAAGGCAATGTTCAGGGAGGTGAAGGAGTGTAGCTACGTTGAGCCCGACGAGGGTGACGAGAAAGGTGTCTTCTGGTACAATAATAAGCTTTGAAGTGCTTATGTTGAAGGTGTCTACAAGAATAATTTTATATCAATATAAGTGCTTTTTCAATAATTTTTGCTTCTCTAATTATCGTTGAAGTTAAAACACAAGAGGATGCTATCTGTTATGTGCTTTTCTTTTAAGCACAATGCGTGCAAAGTGCTTAATCTAAAAGCCGAATCCAAAACGAACCTGCCTTGCCTAATCTAAAGTAAATTTAGGCCGCCCCAGAAGGATGGCTTTTCTCGTTAGCCGAAAGCGTGCAAAGTGCTTAATCTAAAAGCCTAAGCCTAAGCCAAAACAAAACCTGCTTGCCTAATCCAAAGTACATTAGACTGTCACGGTTGATTTTTATTGGCCATGAAAAAGGAGTCTTTAAGTTTAGAATATTAGTATTTTTTTTTTTGGTCGATTTAAGATATTCATTTTGGTATGAATTCGAAATGGTTGACTGACTTGGCCTGAAAAGGCGGACACATACACTGCTTTAACCAGCAAACTAACTCACATCTGCCTTTTTTGTGATCCCAAATTATCTGCCATCATGAATCCGTGAAGGAGCGGAGGCTAAGGAAACACTGAAACGATAACGCACGGATTCTTCTGAGCCACAAACAATCTTTGCCCGTTAATGTTCATTGTTTCTACTTCATTGAAAGTGGCTAAAGACTTCTTGGTCTACATTCTAGTAAGGTACATGTATGATTTATCATATTTTTTAACAAGTGAGTAAAAGATCTCCTAGTTTTTTAGTGTTCACATAAAACAAACGTACAAGAAGCTTGTAACCCAATTGTTTCGGATTATTCTCTACATCCGAAGTCACGAGTTCAATTCCTTCCTTTCCATGAAGGAGGACAAAAAATGATAAACAAGCTAAGCTTGTGGATAAGTGGACTTTGTATATTTGAGATAAAATCGAAACAAATTTCAGACCCACCCAACAAGTAAAAACAGAAAACGAATTGAATGGGTTAGTTCGGGTAGCCCAATAAGTCTTTGTCCTATTCTAGGCCTGTTACCGTTAAACGTTGTCTGAAACGGCTTTTGCTATTTCAAAAGAAAATAATACTAGGGAGAATAAATTTCTAAGCCAAATTTGCAAACTAAATTATGTGTTACGGTGTCACCAATAAGAAACAAGCATGTTAATCAACACTTAAGTAATAGTCCAATCATTTACAGCTACATCATTTGATTTGCAAATTTAATTTATAAATTTGATCTACCTAGCATTACCCTTTCAAAAATAGGTGTTTATGAACTTTAATGGTGAAGAACTAAAAAAGTATGTTTTTCCTTTCTTTTTTGAAAGGACTAAGAATAGTTTCTAGACATGACTGTTCCATATTTCTTCAAATTGTGGTTACAAATCCAAGAAAGTGAAAGAAGAGAAAACTAATTGCAATTTTGATTCTTATTATTGCATAAGAGCAAGTCCACCGGTCGTTCAATTGATATAGCAATTGGGTTGAATTATCTTTGGCCCCCAAAAAGGTGGTCCACCTATGCAAAAAATGAAGGGTATTGGGCTAAAGGCTTATGCCTTTTCTGCTGCCCCCGCAACTTCTGCCTGGGCTTGCGCCTGTTGGCTACAGAAATTGAGTGAGTGGGCCTAACCACTTGTATAGCCCAGAGCCAAATCGCTCCATTTTCCTCCAAGTAAACCGTCTGATTTTCAACAGTCATTTGATTTGGACTGCTGGATTTTCAATGGTAAAAAAAAAAAACTCATATTTTATGGAGCTGCCACATGACACAATCTGGGGCATCTAATGTAAATAATTTTGAAATTCAACGACCATGATTATTCTACCGTAAAAAATGAAATAAATAAACCATAAACTATACAATTTTTTTTTCTATAAATACCCAACCATCTTCTTCATTTATTCCATGTATATGAAATATATATATATATATATTTTTTTTTTTTTTATCAAGAAAGAAATTTATTAAAACTTGAAACCACGAATACAACCGTTTCCCATACAATCAAATTTAAAGGTCTCCATAACCCAAATCGGTAAACAATACTCCCAGAAATATGGGTTCATAAGGTAAGGCCAAAGTGAGCTAAAGCGTCAGCCACAAAGTTTGCTTCCCTGAAGATGTGGTTCCACCTTATGCAAAAAAATTCAGAGGCCAACCATCTAATATCATCCACAATTAGCTTAAGGTGCCAAGGAGTATCCCAAACGCCTAGCACCGCCTAAATCACAAGCCTGGAGTCCTCTTCCACCATTAAGTTCATAAAACCTTGAAATATATATATATATATATATTTTTTTTTTTGATCAAGAAAGAAATTTATTAAAACTTGAAACCACGAATACAACCGTTTCCCATACAATCAAATTTAAAGGTCTCCATAACCCAAATCGGTAAACAATACTCCCAAAAATATGGGTTCATAAGGTAAGGCCAAAGTGAGTGTGAACACGAAAGTTCCTTGAAACAAGAAACAAGAATACGTGTACAAAATAATATTTTGTTTGATGATTTTGGGGTTACGATCTCTCTCAAATTTGGTCCTCTGATTCTATCTTCGTAGGGTGTAGGTTTGTGGATGAGTTGTTGATCCAAAGGGCCGTCGGGGCTTGATCTAAGGATGAACAGTTGATGAACGGATGAACACTTTCTTCAAGGGCCGTCGGGGCTTGATCTTGAATTGGTGGAAGTTCTTCAAGGGCCGTTGGGGCTTGATCTTGAAGGAGGATTTGATGAAGAACAAAGAGTGCTTTCTTGATCCTTCGGGATTTTCTTGAGAGCTTTAGAACTCTAAGGCTTCAAGGTTTTGGTGTGTGGAGAAATGTATTTGTGAATTGGTTGATGCTTGATACCTTGATGGAGAAGCCTATTTATAGGCTTTGAGAATGAATCACCACCACAAAATATTTTTTTCTTTTCCAAGCACCATTGCCTAATTTTCCCACTTAATGCAATATTGAAATTGAAGTGGTGTAACTTATTGCCTAATTTCCCACTTAATACCATTTAAAACTTGAAGTGGTGTAATTTATGGCCTAATTTCCCACTTAATACCATTTTAAACTTGAAGTGGGGTAACTTATGGCTTAATTTCCCACTTAACACCATTTTAAACTTGAAATGTGTATGCTTTGTCATTGCCCAAATGAGAAAAAACTTGCTTTGATCCGTAATGGATTGAAGTATGCTTGCCTTGTCATTGCCCAACATGAGAAGAAAAACTTGTTTTGATCCTCAATGGATTGAAATGTACTTGCCTTGTCATTGCCCAAAATGAGAAGAAAAACTTGTTTAATCCTTCAAGGGTATTTCTCCCTATTTTGTTGAGTCACACGCCACGTGTATAATTTGTACAACACGTGGCGTATGCCATGTATGCCTTGACACGTCAAAACTTTAATGCATTGGTGAACATTTGTTTTACTGAAATTTCGATGTCTACAAATGCCCCCACTTCAAGGCGCGTCGTAGACATGTGCTTGACACGTGTAGAAGATGCGTTTTGAAGTCCCTTAATGTAGATGTCAACCCAAGGGCCGTCGAGGCTTGATCTTGAATTGGGCTGGAAATTTCTTCAAGGGCCATTGAGGCTTGATCTTGAGTTCGACTGGAAGATTTTCTGGTTTCCTCCAATCGTTGATTTTTCGCAGGCTTACTCTTGAACTGGGTGCAGGATTATTTTGGTCTCCTCCACTCGTTGATTTTCCTTTGTGCTACTCTTGAACTGGGCAGCAGGATTCTTTTGGTCTCCTCCGAAGGTCTGAGCTTACTCCTTTTTTTCTGTTTCTTTGTTCAATCTCTCCAATTCGTATTGAAGAGGGTTAGAGGATAGCTCAGCATATGCAGTTGCAGCTTGTCTCCACATGCTTCAATGTATCATTTTCACTTGCCTTACTTGCTCCCCTTTGCAGAAGTGGTATTTCCTTATGCAGGTTTAGCATCTTCTCTTGTAGTATTTGTTCCTGATGCAGGAGTTGAATGCAAACCTTGCATTTGAATGGACCATCACTTCTTGGTGGCAGCGCAAGTTTGAGTGGAGGTTCCGACATATTGCTTTCTCTGTCCTTGTCTTGGCAGGTGAGAACAAGGGCAAAGGAAAAGATAGGGGAAAAGCATGATATGAGATACCTTTGCTTTCGCCCTTGATGATATGAGATACTTTTGCCTTGGTGTCATTTGTTTGCAAGGGCATTCCCGGAGAGGAAGAAAACTGAGCATTTTGAGATGCTTTGCTGGGAGTGTACTCTCGGAGGTGAGGAAGAGTTGGGCATTTTTTTTTTTTTGTTTGCAGGTCTGCCTTGCCATAAAAGATGAAGGTCGACATATATAGGGATTTCCCAATAGCAAGTGGTGGTACTGTTCTTTTACCCTTGTCGACAAACGTTTTTGATCCCGCAAATCCGGCTTTTTGAAATAGTGACGACTCTTCGATCTTTGAATACGCCTCTTTGATTTCTGAACGACGCCTCTTCGATTTCTGAACGAGCGCCTCTTTTGACAAAGCTGCACGCGTTTTCTGAAAAGCAGAGAAAGCGCCACCGAACTTTGCGCTTGTCGGCTAAAGATGTGTAGCTGCGATGATGACCTCCACGTGATCTTTTGACAAAGTGGCACCCGTGTTCTGAAAAGCTGAGAAAGCGTCGCCAACTTACGCCGGAAAACCCAGCTTTTGAGATTTGCAGAGCGATGTCTCTTCACTTTTTGAATAAGCGGCCCTTCGATTTCTGAACCAACGTCTCTTTGATTTCTGAGCAAGCGCCTCTTCGATTTTATAGAGGTATTGATCACCTCTAACATGCACACTTTGAAGGTTGCTCATTCCTGAAAATCATCTCCGACCTTTTGAGTTTTAACTCCATCCACCCATCTCTTTTAACACCTTTGAAAAAATGGCTAACCCATCGAACCTTAGCTTAGAATTGAGTCTCAGCAGTGATCCGGTTGCGCCGCGTCAAGGTAATGTATGGTGCCCGTCTTTCTTATCTTCTAACGGTCCTCTTACAGGTGAAGACTCAGTGATGCAGAATGCAACAACAGCTACAATAGTAGCTAGGAACCTACTTACACCAAAAGATAGTAGG